GTGGGTTAAAGCCTCTGCCTTCTGCTCAGGTCATGATCCCAGGGTCCTGGGATCAAGCCCCGCATCGGGCTCTCTGCTCAGCAGGGAGCCTGCTTCCTCCTCTCTCTCTGCCTGCTTCTTCACCTACTTGTGATCTCTGTCTATCAAATAAATAACTAAAATCTTAAAAAAAAAAAAAAAAAAAGAAAAAATTATATGACTAATAGGGAGTTCTGCCCAGGTAAAATGACAGACCCTGTAACTATAATCACATGCATCTGATGTCTGAAGAATAGATAAATGAGGTCAGACTATGGCCACTTAAATTTTAATGGATTCTTAACAAATCTCCAATAAGATTTCTGGCAGCAATATTTACCAGTTCACTGGTGGCAAGGGAGGTGCTCAAACAGGGCAATTCTTCCAGTGCCAGAGAAACTCAACCAGGAAAAACAGATAAAAAGTTGGAGTGAACAACAACATAGCACAGTGTAGTAAGGTAGCGAGTGAAAAGATGAATTCTCGGAGAGCTGATTATGGGTCAGAGTCACACACAGACTTATTCTTAGAGCATCCCATGTAGAAGAGCACATTCTAAAAGGTACCAAACAAGGACCTCTGCTTTGAACAGAAGTTATTTTACAAGCCTACTCTTTGAATGCCCCCTCCCAACTCTTTACAAGTTTATAGGCCTTCTGCTTCCCATAGGGAAGCCAAAAGGCAGCTCTATTGTTTTTCTTCCCTAACTGACCAAGCAATGCATTGTCTCTGCCTTACTGGTATTACTTTTAATCCCCTTTTCTTGAACTAGCATAGAGTACTAGAATTCTCACGCACCGAAGACAACTGGACAAAAAACCCAGAACCCAAACCAGCCCAATTCCATGTTTTGCAAAATTCTCCCAGGTCCTTGAGGAGAGCATTTGGGAGTTGAAAATAAATCTGTTGATCTGGAAAAGAATATGAAAGATGAGTTGTTACACGTTTTGGTGACAGGTGAGTCACTTGGGGACCTGGAGCACACCTTAAAAGAAGTAAGTACAAGAGACTCCACCCAGAGAGTACCTGTTTTTTGTCTTTCGTCATTGTGCCTTGGAAATGTTCTAACACCCTGTGAAAAGAACAGCATTTAGTGTAGGAAGTAAAACTGTGCTATTTGCCTCTTCCCTCTTTCTAGATCAAATGTGCTCAACTGCCAACACGCCCTCTGAGGAGGTTCGGGAAAGGAAGGAGAAGGGCACCCATGTGAAGGTTTTTGCCTGCTCATAAAAGTAAAATTAGACTTAAAATGTGCAGAGAAAACACCACTAGAGCAGCTTTCCATCCAATTCCATTTCAAAATATGTACCAAAGTGTATATGAAAGTTGATGTATAAATGGGATAGTGAATGTAAAGGAAGTAGGTATCTACAGAAAAATATGTCAAAATTTAAACACATACATCCCAAGATAAAACAGTCACAGTGAAAAACAAAGAAACAAACACATAAACGTCCTATCAATTGTTTTATATTTTCTAGCAGTTTCCCTATAAGCTCCTTAAAGAAAGGAAACTTGTATGATATTTTGTTTTGTTTTTTAACCTCCCAACCAAGACTTAAAAATTAGAGCATAACCTCTAAGCTCGGAAGACTGGCTTATATATATAATATGTATAGGCTTACATATTAAGCTAGTTTATATACTATTTAATATATGTGTATACAATTTTGGGGCCAACTGTAGCAGTAAATTGGGATCACTATAAAGAGAATTATGACTAGGTAGGTGTTTTCTGAGGCACATCCAGTGATATTCCAAACAGGAAAATACATGGAGTTTTCAGTATCAAGGGAACCACCCTGAGAATTGGTAATTTCAGAGATGCACAACACACATGCTTTTCAAGTCAAATCCACGACAAGTAGAACTACAGAATCATTTCTAATTCTGTATAAGATGATGCTATTATAAGAGCTGGTTTATCAGGTTGACAAATTTGGTTTCCAGGAAGCTAACCAGTTCCTGGCATTACTTCATGGATAAACTTGTTTGGTAGTTCCAGGGCTGAGAACACACTAGAGGAATGGTTTGGCACTATCTCTTAAAACCCAGGATAACTGACAAAATGGACATAGGAATATAGAATCTGATTTTTGTCAAAGCCGAAAACACTGCTAAAGGCAGACAGCTTCTTAAATGGATACTTCAAACTGAGGATGTGGATAAAGACAGGAAGTAAATCAAGTGGCTCTTTTAGGCATTTCTTCCTGGATTGAGATTTTTAACTGAATTATCAGCACTCTAGTATGATATTCCTCAAAAACAAAACCAAACAAACAAAACTTTTAAAAACAAATAGCAGCTTTCTTAGAGTACAGCAAGCATTTACATGCACTTTGAAGTCAGAAAGACCTGGGTTTAAGGAGGCTTTCAACAGAGCACTGATTCCCTTTAAGCCTCAGTTTCCTCATCTATAAAATGGAGATAATAAAAGTATCATCTCACAGAGCTGCTGTAAGAGCTAAAGGAAAAAGAACTTACAAATTATTCCTCATGGTACCTAACTAACACTTAGTAATGCTAAAAAAATGCTGGCTATTTATCGTCGATGGGAAAAAGGTCAGTGGAAAAAGACTGGACACTATTTAACCCTAATGCTTAATTTTTCCTGGATATTTATTAGTCATTAACAACAGCCATTTACTGAGTACCAATATATATTATACATTAGATAGTTCCAAGTTCTTATACATTAGATAGTTCCAAGTTGTTCAAACTCTAGGGATAAAAGAATGAATGAGACCCAAATACAAGCTTACACAAATAAAGTGATGGACTTAGACAATATACAGACCAGAGTACATAAACACACACATGTAAAAAAAATTTTTACAGTGAGTAGCAAGAGGTTTTATAGATGATTTTACATAATTATTAACAGAATAAGGATTCTTTCAATAAAGCAAGCTGTTCCAGTTAAACAGGAGAGCTTAAAAAATTAACTGAAGACGAGAAAGAACCTAAAAGCAAGTGAGGGGACTGAGGGGAAGAGAAGCGTGTCAGGGGCTGATCCTCAATGAGAACTAATCCTTATCGAGTAGAGTAGGAAGAAAGTATGCTGGCAAAGAAACCTTTAAGAGGACTGGGGAAAAAAAAAAACCACAACAGAGCAGTCAGGACCAAAGAAGGACAGTGGCAGGCATAGGCCAGGCAGGTCCAATAGAGCGGCAGAGGCAGAAACAAAATTTTAAAGGGAATCAAGAAGCTGGAGATTAAAAGGAAACTGGAAGTAGTAGAAATCAACAATTCATTTGTGAACTTTACACATGAGCAACTTGAGGCTGGGGTAATAGTTAGTGTGCTATAACCTTGAAAAGATTTCCTGAGGATGGAGGTGGTTTGACACACTTAAACGCTACCAGGAAGAAGCAGAGAGGAAGAAGTTCGTTCTAGAGGTTAAGAGGCTATGACTACAGAGAGAAGGAGTATTCATAGAAAAGAGAAAAGAAGGGATCTATGAAAAAAGGATTAGCGTTCAGGCTTAAAAAGTGGAAACTCTCAAGCAGTCTTAAGCAGACAGCTATCCATAATAATCCAGCAGCACGGACTTTTTCTTCTCTGGATACACTGACCTATGGTCTGGGGGCTGCCAGGCAACACATTCCTTTCTCCTTACCTCCAGCACGAAGTCAACCTTGCAGAGTGAACTATTACTTCCATCTAAAAGTAGGGTTTTAAGGCACTCCCATTTATGAATTCCCTTGGCTAAAAACACAGAAAAATTTCTAGTAGCACATTGTCCTTCAGTAAACATTGGTGTCCTTATGATATCTGTGTACTATGTCAGACACTCTCCCTTTTCCATATATATAAATCTCCAAAATAATGTTTTAATTGTTGTTTTTACCTAACTAACGTTGTTATTTCTTCATGTGGCCAGCGCTCTACTCAGCAGTGCCAGACTGTCCAATCATGCTGCTCACCCAGGAGATGCTGTTTTCAGTGTCCCTGAGTCAGATTTTATTACCTTCTCCCCCCTTTCTTTAAAGATTTTATTTATTTGACAGACCGAGAGAGAGGATGAGTGAGCACAAGCAGGGGGAGCGGAAGATAGAGGGAGAGGGAGAAGCGTATTCTCCACTGAGCAGGGAACCCCACATGGGGCTTGATCCCAGGACCCTGGGATCATGACCTGAGCTGAGGGCAGACACTTAACCAACTGAGCCACCCAAGCACCCCCCCAGATTTTACTATCTTGATCTTCATGACATTTCACATATTCCCACTGCCTTCACCTTGTCAGAACCTGGGCAAACATTATTTTATAGTGGCAAACATTATCTTTTAGTAAGCACAAACAAAAAGGCCTGAGACTCAATTCACAAGAAACTTTTTTCCTTCATAGACATGGTTGAACCTTTGCTAGATCTCAAAGTCAAATTCTGGTGTTTATTTTTCTGTTTCTGGGATATAACAGCCCTTCCAAAGAAACTAACCGCTAACTGGGGAAAGGCAGAGGGAGAGGGAGAAGCAATGTTCGCACTGAGCAGGACGCCTGACATGGGATTTGATCCCAGGACCCCAAGATCATGACCTGAGCCAAAGGCAGACACTTAACTGACTGAGCCACCCAGGCACCCCCAAAATTTAAAAATACATATTACAAAGTAAGCTGTTGCTTCCTCATAAAAATCAACATATCACCACTATATTTTATTTTAATGTTTAATGAAATTAACCTAAAGGTCTGGAAACTATAAAATTATGTAGGTCAATCCCAAAACTATAGAATTGATCTCTCGCTCCCATGCATCTTTACACGGTTTGGACAAAGTACCTACAATACCGCTCGTACTCACTTGTTTACATGTTTCAGGTTCAACTTACCTTTTTAAGGTAACTTGTTAAGGCAGGATAAATACAGATACAGGGTCTAGTACTGCTCCCAACACATAAGAGCCAATAAATAAATGAATAAAGATTAAACGAATAGCTTATATAGACAGAACCAAGAAAACTGCTTCTTATCCTTTGTGTATTCCCCGGTTGGATACTTACTTTTTATAAATGCCTAAAATTTAGTTTTAAAATCCAACTGTTAGGGGCACCTGGGTGGCTCAGTAGGTTAAACGTCTGCCTTCAACTCAGGTCATGATCCCAGGGTCCTGGTACTAAGCCCTGCGGGACTCCCTGCTCAATACCCCTCCCTTTCCCTCTACCCCTTCCCTCACCCCACTACTGCTTTCTCTCAAATAAATAAATTCTTTTAAAAAAATGAAATCCAACTATCATTTTAAAAATATCAGAAATCTAGTCGACACACAGCCATGTTGATTCATCAAATTTCAATTAAAACAGTTGTTGGTCAGAGTCTAGATTGTCAGGTTGTCAGATTCTAGACAAGCTGAACTGACAATGGTCTTACTGAGAGCTAATAACAGCCCTGGAACCTTAGAGACCCAAGTTGTCTGTAAATCACAATGATTCTGACTTCCAACCAAGCTATCAAAGCAGAACCAACCCATCCTTAATCCTGTACTCAGTTCACTATAGTTTCCCGCAACATTTCCAAGTTGTTACATGTTTTTCAGTAACATTTCCCACTAAGTTTCAGATTGCATTTATAAAAAGTCCAAATACACACAAGTGAATTAGTCTCAAGTGTTATTAACAGCATTTGCCACTATAATTACTAAAACTGGGAGAGAATTCTAGTGTGACCAAGAAAAATGAGCAGTCAATCCCAATTTTTTTAAATAACAACATAGTATCAAAGCCAAAAGAAAACAAAAAAAAGCCTATCTCCATGTTTCCTATTATTTACAAGGTTAAATGTACTACAGGGATAAATGTAGTTCCCACTAGGCATTTACTGAGGCTAACAGCCAATATAAAATCTAACCTGCTTTTATTACCAACCCAAGTTGTCAAACAAGCTTGAGTCTGGGGCTTTGAACAGCTCAGGAAAATATGACTGTTAACCAAAGAACCTGCAGGGCAGAGACTCCAATTAGTTTTGGTCTTTTCCTAAGCTGAAGTTTAACAAGTATCATGAAAATATTAATAAGTCTGTATGTCTCTCTTATCAACCTCTTGCTGTATCATAATACATTTAGAACCACAGCAACTAAAGCAAACTAATCTGGGAATCTAAGTTTTCATCTGATGAAAATTCTTAAATACTGGAAGTCAGTATTTAAGAGACACTGTCTGTGTGTGTGTGTGTGTGTGTGTGTGTGTATACATATCCTTGCTGAACCTTTTATATAGTAAATTAAAGATCCAGGCTCAGGAAGAACTCAGTATTAGCTCTAATTGCATATCAAGGTCATCTACCAAAAAAAAAAAAAAAAAAAAGAGAGAGAGAGAGAGAGAATGGTATGAGGGGAACCTGCTGGAGAAAGCTAGGCAGTGGCTCTTAAACCAGCTTGCCTAATACATGGCAGCCACCAGGCAAGTTAGTTCCCCTCTCACTGCCTCAGTTGCTTTATGTAAAACAGACATGGGGACAAATGAAAAGCAGAGTTCCTGGTCTTTTTTTCTTTGCGGTTCTGGCCACTACCTATATAGTTCCTTTCCTCCCCATTACTGTCTCTCCATAAACTCATACACTTAAAATAGTTCTTAAAAATGCCCGGAAATGTGAAAACAGGCTACATCTATTTTCATGTTGGACATGCAAATGTAATCAATAAATCTGGGCACTTTTACTAATTTAGCAGTCAAGAAAGTGGGGAGTGGGAGTCTGCCCATCCTCAAGTATTACATACTCCCTTTTGGGACTTAAGACCTCCCTCACAAGACAAAGAGGAAAGACTATCACAAACACTGGTTCACAAACCAACTCAAGGATTGAGTTCAATCATCAAATTCCAAAACACAAGATAAGTGTCTGAAGCTTGGGGAGGACAAGAAGAATCATGTACCCCATTTATAGTAAATGTTTGGTAAGTATTTGTTGAATTATGTATTTAAATATCAAGCCTTAATGGGTTCCTTTTTCTGCTTGCTGTCACAGGAGACTTTATTCCAGAAGAGCAAACGCTTTTGAAGCAAAGCATGGGAAGGAAACAGTAAACCCAGCAAATGAACAAACCCATCCTTTACTGTACAGGGGAAGTGTGGAATAGAACAAGGCAATTCATTCAAAGGCACAGTGTAGAGACAGGCAGCAAAACAGTATCTGCTCAATGTGACACAGCATACACAGCATACGCTTAACCTTCTACGAAAATGACTTGACCTTGCTATAGGGCAAAGCAAATATTAACATTCCCTCTTCACGTGCATGGCACTTCACAGATACAATGAATGCCTTTGCAAAAGATCCTCTCACTGAAGTTTACTCCTTGGTTATTTAGGACAATACCAAATACTTTGCAAAACTTGTGATTGTGGACAACAGTATCACAATAACTGATCCAACAAGAGAAGCAAAGTACATCTAAAATGTTATTTACTTCTTAACCTAGTCCACTAATCATTTGCTAAATTACCAAAAAGGACACCGAAATATAATTCAGTTCAAATGCCGCGTTTGACATCAAAAGCGTTTCTTAGATTACATCTTCACAACTGAAATTGCAAGTATTGATGAAAAGGAAATGATTTCACAAATTCTTTTGTGCAGCGAACGCTTCTTTTAAAAGTTACATAATCTCAGCGATACCGCTAAATTAAAATAATGGCTGTAAAACACTGCAACAGGATTTTTCAAAAAAGTAGGATGTGAATTATAACTGGCAGTCCCGGACCAATTCCTAACCTCCAGCAATCTGCGTGCGGCTCGCATTTCTCAACCGCGCTGTTGATAACAGTGATTGCCGTTTTAATCACCTCCCAGCCTATCTCCCCGCATGCCCTCCCCCCTGCGCTGGGGCGCGCACAGGGCTTGAGAGCAAGCCCCGGGAACTCTCGCTGGCCGGCCTGTGTGAGCAAAGGGAAGGAAATGACACAGGCAGGAAAAAAAAGCAAATCAAGGAAAAGACACAACAGCAGCTGGGCCTGCACCAGCCTCCAGCCCGGGCCCCACACTGAGCTCCAGCTCCCCCGCCCTCGGGCTCGCGGTCCGGCTCGCTCGGGCCGGAGTGGGCTGCCCCACCAAGCACGGGCCCTCGATCCAGCCACCGCCTCCTTGGGATGCGCCAGCCGCGCGGCCCGTTAGAAGGCTGCCCACTGGGCTCCGCCGGCCGGGACCGCCCCGGCGGCCGGGGGGAAACCGAACCCTCCCCCCACCCCGGCCGCCGAGCTGCGACCGCGGCGGGCGGGCGCCGGCGGTCGGCAGCCCGGGCCCAGCGGGCTGTCCATGCCTGTCAGGCGGCGGCCCAGGGTCCTCCTCCCCTCAGCCCGGGGCGGGGCGAGGCGAAGCAGCGCGGGCACAGGCCGGGGCGGTGGCGACACTCACCCATGGTGGCGATGGCGGCGGCGGCGGCTCGGGCCCGAGTGTCACCTCCGCAGCCGGAGCTGCATGCCGGGGGCCCGGGCGGCGGGGACGGCAGCGGGCCTGGCTCCGCGCGGGGGGCGCGGGCTGCGCTCGGGCCCCCCGCCGCCTCCCCAGGCTCCGGCTCCGGCTCCGCCCGCGGCCGGGCGCTGTGGCATGGGCAGGGTGGCCCGCTACATCCCCGGCGCTCCTCGGCTCGGCCCAGCCCGGCCTCGGCGGCGCCGCTCGGCCCGCCCGCCCGCCAGTCTCTCAGTCCCGCAGTCGCTCCGTCCGGCCACCGTTCTCCACCTCAGGAACGCTCCGAAAAACAAACCGCTGGTCGCGCAGCTCGCCCCCTTGCCTGTCACTCACCGCAGCGCCCGCCAATCCCAGGCAGTCGCTGGACCTTCATACCACCCCCACTCACTTCACCAGCCAATAACACGGAGGAAGTCGCTGCCCCAGTCGCCCCCCAACTCCGCTCTCTCCCCAACACCCTAACTCTCAGTCGCCAGCTAATCATCAGCACCACACGATGAACCAATCCCGCCTACTCTCGCAGGTTGCCAATGGGCGAAGCCAAGGCCTTTTCCGAGGGCTGTCTACTGCCTGCCAATCATCGAATCAGCACCCGGTTCACTCTCTGCTAGCCAATCACGCAGAGGGCTCTGAGCACCCGCCTCTACGCATCCCTGGCCGTCTCGCCCGCCCCCTCTCCCCGGGAGGTGTTGGTTGCTCCAATCACAGCTCGCGCGAGAGGCTCCGCCCACATTCCCACCTCCCGTCGGTCACTGATGGCTAGGCTGGCGCGCGGGCTGGCGCTGTTCCCCCCCCCCCCGCTACTTTGGGGCTGGAGTTTGGGAAAGCGGCTGGAGGGGCAGCCAGCCTCCCGCCTTCCCTGTTCTCCGAGGCCCGGGCGGCCCCTGAGGCCGGCGTCCTGCCCCTTCTTGTTCCCGCACCGGGCGCAGAGAAAGTGGGGAGGGTTCTGGCTCTGAGCGCTTCCCGGCGTGTGGCCATCTCTGCCGCCCGATCCCCTGACAAGTCCGCCGGTCCCGACGCTGCGCTTACCACTGCCCGCCTTTTCCTGGGTCTCCTACCTCCGGGGCCACACCCTCCGAGGGGCTGGGGTAGTACTGGAATGTGGGTCCTCAGAAGTCTGGGAGTTCCGCTGCTGGCCAGGGCCGACACCAGTAAGTGGCGAGGTCAGAGACGTTCTTTCAGATAAAAGCTTTTTTTTCTTTGGTTATGAAAGCAATACAAGCTATTCGAATTAAAACCGAAAAAAAAAAATCCACCCCAGGGATAATTTAATCTCTTTCCTACCAAGATATACAACGTTAGACAAAAATGGCTTCATATTGTTTTGTAGTGTGCTTACATTTTATTATGTGTTTTCCCGTGCCACTGAAATATTGTTCCAAAACAATTGTACTGGCTGCATGATATTTCAAAATAGAGAATGACCATAATTAATTTCCCCAACCCTCATTGTTCAGTATTTTATACACCCAGGTCTTCAGATGCCAAATCCATCACAATTAATATGGGCTCCCTTCCTCTCTTGCTGTTCCGCTGTGGTACAAGTCAGACGCCAGAATAATCTTCCTCTGATGCCATTTTCAACCGTCAACTAAGAATCTTTAGTGGTGGCTTTGCTTTGGGTGTCAAATCTCTCAAGAATTACCTTGGACTCCCCTCTTTCTTTACACTCTCTCCCTCCTCCCCCCAATATTTAATCAGGCCCCTTATCCTGTTTTCTTTTTTCTTTCCAACAAGCTTTTAAGACGGTCTTTCTCCCACTTGATTAGATCCCTATCCAGTTTATTGTAGTTCTTAACTATAAAAATCTCTTTTCTGGGAAGGGGAGAAAGTGAAAGGGAAAGGGGCACCTGGGTGGCTCAGTCGTTAAGCCTCTGCCTTCGGCTCATGTCATGATCCCAGGGTCCTGGAATCAAGACCCACATCAGGATCCCCGCTCTGCGTGGAAGCCCACTTTTCCCCTTTCCCTCTCCCCCTGCTTGTGTTCCCTCTCTTGCTGTATCTCTCTATCAAATAAATAAATAAAATCTTTTAAAAAGTTTCAAAAAAGTGTAAAAAGAAAAGAAAGTTAATAATTATTAGTTGTTTATTATATGCCAGGCCCATCATCTTATTTAATCTTTTCAATAACTGAGGTTAAGTAATACTATTGGCATTTGAATGAGGAAATGGAAGCTCAAACAAGTTAAGGACCATGTCCAAGTGGTAAAGCCAGGATTCATACCAGATCTACCTGCCACCCAAAGGTCATGTTCTTGTACCAGGCCACTGTTTCTCAACTGCTTTTTCATTGTCACCTTCCCCTTGCCCCCACCCAGGAGAACATTCTGAATTACTTAATTAAATGTTAATTCTAATGAGAGAAATTAAATACTAAGGAATAAGATTTGGTCAAGTAGGGTTGAGCTTTGAAGGCCACATACCACTGTATTATCTAAGATTTTTTTTTCACCCCTTAATCATTTTTCCCTTCATGGGGTATCACTCTGGTGAGAATGTGTGTAACAAGCCAGGGCTGGAGGTCTCAATCTACCAATGTGAGGCTCATATCTGACACTAAATTTTATTGACCTGTGAGATAAATATTAAAAAAAGACCTAACTATGCAAGTGGAAATCTAGTACTCACTCCATAGCCTGTATTGGAAGGTTTATTCAGCAATTTTCTTGGAATGTCTGAAACACATCGCCCAATTTCACAAGTTTCACCCTGAACTCTTTATCCTTTCCCCCTCCCCAGAAAACACCCAACTCCTCTATTTTCCCATTGTGTTTGTTAAAATACAAGCCTAGAAGTCTTCCTTGGTTTTGCTCTTTGCCTAACACCCCTATATCTAATCCTTCAGCAGGTCTTTTTGCCTCTGGTTTCAAAATATATCTGAATCCAACCACTTCTCACCGCTATCAGCGTGGTCCAAGCTGCTACCCTCTCCTGGATGACTGCCCTAGCTTCCTAACCCAACCCCCTGTTTCCTCTGTGGCCACTTGAAAAATGATTCTCTGCACAGCAGCCAGAGCGATCCTTATACAGTGTAATTCAGGTCATGCCATCACCCTGCTGTTAAGCCTCCAATGGCTTCCCCCTGCACTTAGAATAACACCCAAGAAGTCTTTGTCATGGCCTTTCGGGCTCAGTAGGAGCTGGCCCTGCCATCCTCTCCCACCTCATCTCTAACTCTCTCCCATGATCACTCTTCCAGCCACACTGCTGTCTTACCACATTTTGAACCTATCAACCTCAAGATCTTTGCACTTGCCATTTGTTCTACCTGGAATGCTCTTCCCCCAAAATGTTCCCATGGCTAACTCCTGCATTTTATTCAGGTCTTTGCTCAAACATCAACTCTTTCGAGTTTGTAAGCACCCGTTCCAAAAGAGCCCCTCTCCTCTCCCTCATTCTTTATTCTGCCTTATTTTTCTTCATAGTGACTAAAATTGTATGTTTGTTAGTCTTTCCTCTAACTACCATGAACATAAGCTGTGTGGCAGCGGGGATTTTTGTCCCGTTCACTGCCTTATCCTATCACCAGCACTTAGAATAGTGCCTTGCACATAGGAGAGAACTGCAGTATAACCACATAAGTTTTTAGCTGAAAAGAGCCTTGTGACTTTCTTTCCTTCTAGCAACTGCTTTGAGGGCTTCCTTTCCATTGTCTGTCCCTTAGCAGCCATCTCAAACATTCCCATGCTGGTTACCACACTAGACCTTCCTCTGAGCTTCCAAGGCCTCATCCTCTAGCCTCCCATAGGCATCTCAGATTCTACAGGTCCGAACTGAATTCATCATTTTCCTCCATAGTTCTATATTTCCTCTGTGATCTTCAGTTTCCCAGGTTTGCCCTGTGAATTCGCTACCTTGGAGAACACTTCCTCTCCATTTCTTTCTCCCACAGGTAACCTTGACCATGTCACCAATCTGTCCATTCCTCTCCCAATCTCAGCTCCACCATCCTAGTTCAAACCCAGTATAACAGTGTCTGCTTACATCACAGAGTGATCTTTCTAAAATGGATCCTGATCCCGTCGTGCTCTGCTTAAAAACTTTATAGTTTCCTATTGCCCTTAGGATAAATCAAGTATGTGGATATAGATAAGAAGGCTCTGCCAGACTCAGGGTATGCCTCTTCAGCCACAAGCTTTTCCATTCCCCACCTCTGCTAACCCTGTCATTCAAATTCTATGTTCTGGCCACAAAGAACCACTGTAGTTCGTCTCGCCTGTATACCTCTGCATCTGCTATTTTGTTTTGTTTTGAATACTCTTCTCCTCCACTCTTTCCCCCATCTTTATTCTTTCAGGAAAAAACTAAGCCTGAACATCACTCCCTCCAAGAAACCCTTCCAGACAAATACTCACAATGCTGGGTACCAGAGCACCTAATAATTTCTTCACCAAAGCACCCATCCCACTCTTTTGTAACTGCCTTTAAGGAAGTAAGCATAGAGACAGAAGCTGTCATTCAAATCGGTATGCCTAGCATCTTTCACGGTACATTAAAAAAAAAATTTTTTTTTAGTAAGTGAACCGTAACTGGGGATGTTAGTAGTTGAATGTAATCTCAACAACTGTGCCCTTTTAGTTATTTTTTCTCTTTCTATATTGTTTCTCTCCTCACTCTTCATTTTCCCCATGTGAAGACTCCCATCTGGGTCATGCCTTCTCAAGTCTGTTCCCATGGTGCCACAGAGTAGATGCCCCTGGTTAAGTACCTGAGCCATACCTGATCCCAATGCTCAGGGCGTCAGACAGTCTGATATACCAGCTGAACACTCTCCTTTTTTTCTTTCAAGAGCATAGAGACACTCGGACATGAGATAGGGAATAATAAAGATGAAGGAATTCTTTTCAGGGATAGTTCAATGAATTTGGTATTAAAAGGGAAAACAAGGGGTGCTTGGGTGGCTCAGCTGCTTAAGGGTTGGACTCAATTTTGGCTCAGGTCATGATCTCAGGGTCAAGACTGAGCCGTGCATCAGGATCCAAGCTGGGTGTGCAGCCTTAAGATTGTCTCTCTCTCTCTCTTTCTCTCTCTCTCTCTGCTCCCCAACCCCTGCTTATGTGCATTCTC